TTGACAGTTATGAGTGATGCAAAGAAGCAGGAGTATCAGTGGATATGCCATTAATACAGTATTACCTCGGTTTGTAAAACAGATTCAGAACACTGAATTAATGCCTGAATAGGTCTTGTGTTTAAGTATTTCTCACCTGCATGTCTCCCCTATTCCCAAAGATGACTCTTCTTTCACTCTTGGAATGTTGCATGGGCATCTTGACAGTTATGAGTGATGCAAAGAAGCAGGAGTATCAGTGGATATGCCATTAATACAGTAGTACCTCGGTTTGCAAAACAGATACGCTCTATAGCAGTGATTCTTAACCTTGGGTTACTCAGGTGTTTTTGAACTGCAATTCCCAGAAATCCCAGCCAGCACAGCTGGTGGTGAAGGCTTCTGGGAGATGCAGTCCAAAAACACCTGAGTATCTCAAGGTTAAGAACCACTGTTCTATAGGACATTACGTAGTAATGAAAATTACATAGTATGAAAATTTCGCAAACTGAAACTCCAATTGCGTTATGAAAGGGACAACGCTATAGGTGCAATGCATCCTGGGAAAACCCTTTCGTAGTGCAAAAAAAGAAAAAAACAACATAAATTGGGGCTTTATTTCTTATAGATTTCGGTTCATAAACTAAAAATTACGTAAACTGAGGCATTCGCAAACTGAGGTACTACTGTAATATCACACAGAAGCAGTACAGTTAGAGGTGGGCAAGTATTATTGTAGTCAAATACACACAAGTTGTCTAAACAGGAGTGTATTTCAAGAATAGGTGACCTGCTGCTACTTTTCAAGGAGCCATCTGACACACATCTAATGAATGTCCCTGTTGGGAGTACTAACCTTTAGTTTACACATAAACTGCTACCATTTTCTTTTGTATTCATTGTTTTTTATAGCAATTTCCCTCACTAATTGGAATATGAGTTATGTCTGTAAATTGTCAGCGAGCCTGCTGGTTGACAAGTTACGTTTGTTTGGAGCTGAAACCTCAGCCTTATGTTTGCACAGCCATATTTTGTTTTGTGTGACTCTACCAACTCCCTCTTTGTAAATCTGTGGGACCTTAGACTATAGTGTACATTCCCTGTAATCAACTTTGATAATAAAAAGCCTAGTAATTATACCAACCCAACATGTGTTCTATCATGCCTAAGTCTATGTAACTGTCTTATTTATTTGTGTGAGCATATTGATAGGCTTCCCTGTCCTTAGGACTTAGGACCCTCGACCGAACAATTCAGTGCATCATGCTTTCATAATACAGTAAAACGCATAGCTGCTTTGTTTTTCTGCTGAATTTGATTTGCTTTTTAAAAAAATTCAGAAGACCAGCAAGAAAGTAACATATTAGGTAATTAGTTACAGTGGTGCCTCCACTTACGAACTTAATCTGTTCTGGAATGATGGTCGTAACTCGAAGCACCATTTCTCATAGGAATGCATTGAAACCCCATTAATCCATTCCAGACCAGGGGGGAGGGGGGAATCACAAAAAACAAAAAATGAAACACTGTAAGCCCCATTGGAGCACATTGGGGCCAGAAAAAAAAATCACAAAAAACCCACAAACAAACAGAGCAAGCCCCATCAGAACACACTGGGGCCAGGGGAAAAAATCACCACCACCACCACCAACAACAACAAAACAATGCAAGCCTCATTGGAATGTGTTGGGGCTGGGGGGGAAAATCACACAAAAAACCAAAAACACCAAACAGAGCAAGCCCCATTGGAATGCGCTGGAGCCGAGAAAAAAAAATCACAAAAACCCCACAAACAGACAGAGCAAGCCCCATCGGAACATGCTGGGGCCAGGGGAAAATTACTAAAAAACAAACAAAAAAAGAGCAAGCTTCATCAGAACGGAAAAGGGTGGGGGGGAAATCACCAAAAAAACCCCACCAGCAGCAACACAGCAAGCCCCATCAGAAGGTGCTGGGGCTGAAAAAACAAACACCAAAACACACACACAGAAAATCACAGCACAGAAACATAACCCCCCCAGCCCAAACCCACCCTGCAAAACCCTGTATGTACTCACTTAGAAGCAGAAAGCAGCACCAGGCAGTCTGAAGCCTCCTCCAACACACACTCTCTAACCATTGGGGTGAAAGAGCTACAAAGAAGCAGCCTCTTCACCGACCAACAGTTAGTACATTTGAATTCCCCGCCTTTCCCCCCCCCACCCTTTGCCCCGTGGTAACTCCAAGCTCCGGCCACAAGTCAAAGCAAAATTTTGTGGCCAGAGCTGGTCGTAACTCGAAATGGTCATAAGTCAGGATGTTCGTAAGTCGCACCACTGTATAGGCTGAAATCCTGTTGCTTAGCATAGAAAGTTGCAGCATTGAATCAGTGGAGAAGGGTTGAGTCATTTCCTCCATACATTCCATTGATTCACATAGGCCTACTCGTGTTGCATCTTGCTACACTAAAATGAATCATAACTAGAGTAAACCCATATAAATGGAACTCTACACTAATGTGACTCACCACACAAAACAACAGGATTTCAGCCATTGGCACATGTGTGCACACAAATACGTACATATATAGGCTGCAGGAACAACTTCCTCATGCAGGAAGTCACACTGACATGAAAATACTTTAGCTGGTATGGTCTTATATAAAGAGCCCATAACATCAACTAGATGGACATTAACTGTAATGACAATAAAACCCCCATATATTTTAATTTTTGAATCTTACTTGACTTTAAAATGCATTTCCCATAAGATTTTCTTCCAGATATGAATGTTGACCATTCTATTCTTGCTTCCCAACAGTTAAGTATATTCTATAAACTGAAAGCAAGCCATAGCATCCATAATTTCTTGCTACAATGAACAACATTCTATTTTAAACATATTTCTATTTACTCATTCTAGGGAGGGAATGAACTCTCTGATTTCAACCCTTGTTTCTCCTCTGAGATGTGATACAGAAAAAGTCAAAAATTACTTGCATTCTTAAAAAATTGTTTACATTTTTAAATGTCAAGTCACTCATTTATTTTTTACAGTTTCATTGTAGTCTACAGCTACAATGATTCTTCTGTTTAGTGGAACATGAAACAGCCTGATCCAGTAACTCTGCTCTGTATTCATCGAGTTCATTGATATGTATGTAAAGCTTTGAACAGGAACAGCTCTGTTTCCTTTGATGTGTGAGAAAGTTCCAGTACCTCAATGTGAATTCATAACTGTGTACACAGACAATTTTTTGCTGGTACTTTGGTCTTGCAGAATTTTGTGTAATGCCTGGAATATATAGCATATACTGTACATTTGTAGCCAAAGTGCCATCCTAGAAGCAGGCAATATGCCTTTTGTTGCCAAGCCAAATCATATTCCTGGAAACCTTCCCAAAACACAATTAAAGTTATAAATAGGGTGTATGCTCCCTGCATGCTTTGTTAAAAAGACAAATTGTTGAAGGAATTGGACAAATCCAGCACCATGGCATCAGCAGGAAAGGATACAGTCTGCAATAGGTTTAGTGCATCGCCACAAAAAAAAAACATGCTCATTCCTGTTCTAGACAGTGTAGTATAAGAGGTTGTGTGTGTCTCACACACCATGAACATAGACAAACAGTATAATCCTACAGTATGTGTCCATACTTAGAAATAACTCCCACAGAACAGTGAAACTTATCTACAAGTAACAATGCACAGAACAGGGCTATAAAGATCCTCTGGCATTTTGGAGACTTGTTTTACCGCTTGAGAAAATTACGTAATTCTGATTTCCTCAAGGGTATTCAGCCACAGCAAAAACAACAAAGAATGTTGTGACATTTTAAAGACTGGCAAGACTGACATATTAATTACAAGTTAGATTTTCACAGTTCCTAACTTAGCCTGTGGGTGCTTCTCCTGGCCCTGGTTCTCTACCAGCTGTGCCTCCTGGAGAGGAATCCCTGCTCCTAGTCTAGATTGCTGATCTTCATTTCCACGTCACTCACTATCCGAATTGGAATGATGAGCAATGCATAAGATTGGAGCATAGTCAGTTCTTGGGGGAAGCGTTCAGTGAGCTCCTACAAGTGCTGGCTCAGTACAGTTCCCTCCAAACTAAAATTATAGTTAGTATTTCAAGGTTAGCCATAACACAATCAGCCCCCGAAAAATGGCTTGAGTGAGATCCAGCTCCTTGACTCCCAACTAGTTCTGATATTTATTGGCTTTTTACAAAACACACAATTTCTTTCCTGGCCTTGATGCTTTGCATTGCATTGCTAGTTGTACCACATATGACTCCCCCAAACACTACTGTCAAAACAGTAGCTAAATTGGTAAATCCCAACATTTGGGTCCAATAAGAGACACTAGGTACTGAGTACAGTTAGAAGGCAATGCTGTCAGCACAGTTCTCAAGTGTGTATTGCTCTGATCCTCACATCCATTCAGGTTACAATTCCCCACCCATAAACACAGTCATGGTACTTAGATTCCAGTCATGAGATCTGAGCTGTATTCATCCACATCTGGGAAATGTTTGTTCCTGTTGAGCTCCTGGCTACAGTGAATATTATTAGATGGCCTCTATTTAAAAACAACATGACCTGTTAGCATAGACACTATGTGGGCAACTGTAAGTGTTTTCAGCCTCGTGTTATATAAATGGAGATCCACAACTGCTGCTTCAATCAGTATTTATTTCTATATGTATTCTCATACCTGCACACTTGCCTATAATTTATTTAGTTTGTACTTTCTGTTTTGGGACAAAGACTTTGTAGCTACAACATCTGGCCTAATCTGATTCCCCTCTTCCCTTATTTTTGTGCCATTGAGCTTGGCTGGGATTTTGGGGGTGGAATACCAAAGTTTGAGTTTGAGCATGGTCAGTAGTAAGGGATTGTAAGACCAGTAGTCCAAACTGTATAGCAGATCATCCCTGGAGGAAACAAATACAGATTTCACCACTTTTTGTTCTGTTAACAAACTGCCATAGGATGAAAAACTAAGCAAGAATTGTTGTCTTTTGTTGTATTATTTCCTCAGCTCCTGAAGAAAAGGAGGAAATTAAAGGGCAGTATGAGAAGCTTATGGATGCTTATGGGTGCTTAGGAGCAATCAAGTTAAAATCTGGTAAGTGGCCACTATTTAATGTTGTAGAATTATTTATATACATTACAGTATCTAAGTCCTACACCAATATGGTGTGAAGGTGACCTTGGGTTCTCAAAGCTATGCCATTGAAGTGGAAGCTCTGGAAAGTTGCACCACACTGGTAAAGCTATAAGGACTGCCCTGGTGGCAGAAGACTGTGTGTTTACTACCCAGTGATAGCCTAGCTGTGGAGGAGTCCATCATACAGAAGGCTAGCCAGCATGGAGTGAAACAACTGCACCAAACAATGAACACAATGATAGAGTGAAATGGTTATCGTCCGTATCAATTAAGGTATTATCCAAACTAGCAAAATGACAGTCTTCAAAGTGTTCAAGGTACAAGGTAAAATAATAAAATCAAAATTTCCTGTCACCTCAGCCAGCAATTCTGTCCAAGCTCTGCTTGATGTCTGGAGTGGGGAAATGGCTAGGGTCACTGACATAATCACTACTAAGTGTCTCCTTCTGTGAAATGGGGCAAAACTAGCCTCCTGGATGGTGGTGATGAAATAACTGGGACGGAGACTAGAGCAAAATGGCAGAAAACGTGAAGTGAATTTAAACAAACACAGGCCAGGGCCCACTGAAAGGCCTACTCCATGACAGTGTTAGTAGTGAAGAAGCATTTTTCTCAGCCACCATTGCTTTGCTCATGGTCATCCGGCTGAGCTCTTTCAAGTGGTCAAGGGCCTATTCTATGCTGGCCCATGGGAAGGGAATGCAGACTGCTCTGTAGTCCAATGTGAAGATTCTGCAGGACACTGTGCAGGCAAAAATATTCAGTTCTGCTCTGACTTGGATGTTGTAGCCGATACAGGTCCTGTGAATGCATGTTAGGGCCCTACTTGTCCTGCGTTGATAAGTTTCATTTCCTGCAGCCTGAAGATGTGGACAAGACTCTTGGAGAGGTGAGAGCCACCAAATGTATGTTGTACCTTTGACCTTCTTGGCTTATAAAAGTTGCTCGGAAGGGATTGGCCGAATGCGTAGGAAGAGTGGCAGATACCTCCCTGCAGCAGGGCAGGATCCCAGCCTGCTTAAAGGAGGCTACAGCAGCTGAACAAGCCCTTCTTGAATCCTGTGGTATTGTATAATTACCAGACAGGCTCCAATATCCCTTTTTGGGCAATATATTAAAGCATATGGTGGCTTCTCAGCTCTAAGGGTTCCTAGATGAATCTAGATGTATTTCAGCCCAACCCGGATTTGGAGGCATTGTTCTACAGTGCCTCTGGCCTTTTCTGGAAGGAAGAACTCAGAAGATGGTGCTGGTTGACTTCTGTTTGATTCCCTGGCCATTGGCTGTTGTGTCCCTCAGGGTTCGGTTTTGTCACCCATGCTTTTTAGCATGTATGTGAGTCTGCTGGGAGAGGCTGTCCATGGTTTGGGGGTTCAGAGCCATCAATATATGGATGATGCCCAAAGTTGTCTCTACTTTTCATCTAATTCCAATAATGGTTCTAAATTAGTGTTTAGTATCAGTGATGGAGTGGGTGAAAGTGAATAAACTTAAGCTTAATCCAGAGAAGACAGAAGTGCTCCTGGTCAGTTGAAAGACTGATCAGGGAATAGGGTTTAACTTGAGCTGGATGAGGTTATGCTTCCCCTGAAAAGAGGTTCACAGTTTGGGTATGCTCCTGGATTCATCCTTGAGCGTGGATGCTTAGGTCTCAGTGGTAGCCAGAAGTGCATTTGTACAGTTAAAACTAGTGCACCAGTGGTTCCCATTCCTGGATATGTCTGGCCTGGCCACAGTGACACTTTCCTTAGTTACATCTGTTGTAATGCGCTCTAAGTGGAGCTGCCTTTGGAAAGTGTTCAGAAATTTCAGTAGGTCTAAAATGCCTAAGTCAGATTGTTAACTGGTAGTAGCTACAGGGATCACATAAATCCCCTGTTACAACAGCTCCACAAGCTGCCAGTCCATTTCCAGGTGCAATTTGAAGTGCTAATTTTGACTTATAAAGCCCTAAAGAACTTGGATCCAAGCTACTTGAAGGATCGTATTTCCATTTATGAGCCTGCCTGAGTTTCAAAATTATCAGGGGAAGCATTTCTCTCTATCCTGCCACCCTAACAGATGTGTTCAATGAGGACATGAGAGAGAGAGGGCCCTCTCTGTCACTGCTCCCAAGCTACGGAACTCCCTCTCACAGAAGACCAGTCTGGCTCCCTCTTTGCAGCCCTTCTGCAGGCAGGCTTTTTCCTTTGCTGGCTGTGCAAGAGCAGAGTTTATTTTTGTTTTGTTGTTTGTTTGTTTTCTTCCAGTTTTCATTTTGTTTGTTTTTGATATTGTAAGCTGCTTTGGATCCTCTTGAGGAAAAAAGGCAGAGAATGAATGAATGAATGAATGAATGAATGAATGAATGAATGAATGAATCCCATATTAATTGAAAACATTCTTCAGTTAATTTTCAAAGGCTAATTTTTAGAAGGGTTTTTTGTATTTGATTGGTTTAAAAGGAAATTGCTAAATATTATTTTTAAGGGTTTTTTAAAAACAAACTTTCACATTAACTTCTGTTGTGAAATTGGAAATAATGCCTCAGGCTGTTGCCATAAGCACATTTCTTATTACAAACCAGGAGGTATGCACTTCAAACTCTGTGAGATTGTACATCCTGTATGTGTGTATGTATGATTGAGACTAAGCCACGTTACTGTATCTTATTCACCTGATCATTTTATTTTCCCTGTGTGTTGTTTAAATAAACCTTGTTCTTTTATTTGTTTAAAAATCCATCCCTGGTCTGTGTGACTTCTTATAGGGAATGGTTGGTGGCAGCTTAGTGAAACTGTGGCCTATCCCAGTAGGTCTGGGTTTGTCACAAATAGGACCACCATTCATCTTTCAGAGTAACTTTTATACCCTGGATAAACAAGAATCCAGATTTATAGGTTTATGGAGGACAGTATTTTTCAGAATTCCTAAACCTGTTAACAACCGAATTAGCATATTTTCTGCCAGCATCAAGCTAATGGGTGAAGACAATCCTTGATGTAGGCAGTAAGCCAGATCAATTCCAGTTCCTAATTCAATTTGTATATTCAAGAGCCGGGCAGAGACAGGTTGATAAATAGTTGTCTTTCAGATAAAAAGAACAAACAATTAGCTAATTAAACTTAGCAGGATACTAGCAATAGGCTGCCAAAGCAGCTTTTGTGCAAGAAAGAGACAGCTGGATCTACCCGTCATACTACTGTTGCTTCTTTGCAGTCCATGGGAAAACAAAGGAGCTCCCAAAGCAAAGGGATTTTTGTGGGGGCAGAGTAATTATCAGAGAAATAACTTCAAACTAACTAATGAATATCTAGAGAAGACCTGGCTTTGAGTCCCTCCAGCTGCTAAAGATATTTATTTAATATGAGGCTGAATCAACAGTCTGTTGTCAGTACATAACTGGATATTTCTTTTATTTAGAGACATTTCTGAGAAGAAGATGAGAGAAAGTTTGGTTTGTCCCACATGGTGCTCAGGCAGAATGAACTCTCAGTAAATGCTTCAGATCATACTGTTGCCCTCATTAACAGGCTGTTGTGTCTTAGCCTTCCTCTTGTCACTGTGCCTTAGTGTCTGGATGTGTGTTTTGTATCTCTAAGAAAGCTGATATCTAATAGGTGAAAGCTCTCAAATTGCAGCACTGCATAAGCAGGTAAATGATACGATCTAAACTTCTCCCTGACAACAAGCTATGAAAGACAGAGATAAGGTTGCCACTTCATTTGGACATAGGACCTCTGGGTCTCAACAGGCAGAAATTCAGTGGCTGGCTGTCTCTGTCAAAGAAATAAAAGTGCTGAGGAAATCTGTACCTTGCTGCATTTTTACCATGTCATGGAACACATAAAAGCATAGAATGTCTGTTCATAAAAATGTGTCAATCCTAGAGGAACTCCCTTTTTCAGATCCAGAATCAGCCAACCTACCGAATAGTATGTTTTGCTTTCTTTTTATTTTGAATAGGCAGCTGTATTTATGGCAGACATTCATGGTTAACTAAGAAACAATTCAGCAGATAGCAGTTTTCTTTGTTTTAGTGACATTTAATTGGTGTTTCTAGAACTAACTCAGCATTTATTACAAGAGGAGCATAACTCTCTCCTTGAGTTTTGTGGGATAAAATTCTCAAATCTTCAGCCAAAGATGTTACCAAACCCTTTTCAAGCGTGGAGGTGACTAATGGAATGGCTACTTTATCTTTTGGTGGTTCATATTGCTGAAAAGGACAGGGATGTCTCTGGCAGAGTGAAAGCACTGTCTATAGTTGTGCACAATGTAAATAAAGAGAGGGCTAATTGTATTCTCGAAGGCTTTCATGGCTGGGATCTGATGGCTGTTGTGGTTTTTTCGGGCTCTTTGGCCGTGTTATGAAGGTTGTTCTTCCTGACGTTTCACCAGTCTCTGTGGCTGGCATCTTCAGAGGACAGGAGTAGGAACTGTGTCCATGCTCTGTTGCTGTTTGTTGGATAGTTGAGTATTTATAGCTGTGGGAACAGCTTTTATCCTTTTCAGGAGATAGGGTGATCAGCGTATTTTTGTTGTGGATGTATTGTTGTGATAAGGGGGAGAGATTATCTGTCACTGTGATTGATGGGTGGCTTTAGCTGGTCTTTTTTGTGCAATGATCCCTGGCCCTTGTGGCTGGGTAGCGTTCGTTGACCTTCTGCAGGCTGTATTTTTCAGTGCTGGGAGCCAGAAGAAAATCTAAAACTTAACAAGACCTGCCACATTTTGAATCAATATAATGACAGATACAGTATTAGACTGTATGGTTAAAAAAACTATTCAAGAGATTTATTGATATATTGTGGTGTAAACCCACCCCCACATCTTACACTACATAACTAGTGGGATCTTCTCTAAACCCATGAGATGTGTGGAGTGTTCCTTGGTTGGCACAAACCTACACTTGTGGTTGGGTGAATGAGGAATGTGGGGGACTGCAATGCAAAAGGTACTAACAACATATGCTATTT